TAGTGACTGTGGAGGACCGAGACCCAACCCCCAAGACACRAGGCAGACATAGGGAAGACCAGAGCCCAAGGTCCGAGAGGGATCCCGAGCGCAGAGCCCCAAKGGGCACCCGCACGGGAAGATCCGCCCACCCACCTCCCAGATCAGACYATAGGGGAGAACTGGGAGAGTCCCCCCAGTGACCACACGCACAGCCCCTGGGGCCAGCAGYGACAAACTCATGGGCCCCACCGGCACCCGCCATACCAGAGCAGATCCAGGAAAGGGCACAGAGGTCTGGGCCCCCAGGGCGCACCCCATCCAGGCCAAAGCCCGACAGGGCCAGAGGCCCCGAGCCCCAGCAGGCAGTCATCAGGTCAGGCCGGCACACACCCCAGTGCCCAGCTCCAGACCCCGGGAACCCCCAGCACGCCGGCGGCCAGACACACACCCTACYGGGGGGCCGAGTAGCATTAGGGCCCCAGATAAAYCAGCAGGAGGGGCAGCCCAGACCBCAGCCTGACAAATACCCAAACATACACAATCACACCATCCCACCCTCATCCTCACCCCCACTCARTCAAAGACATACAAGGACRCCACATTCCACTCATACCCCCGATACACACTCTATTTCCCCCAGGTCCAGGACATGCACCCACCCCCTATTGGAGACAGCACAAACCCAAACCCAGGAGGTAGACCCAATCATTCTGAGGTGGAGAGGAGCAGATAGCCAAGGCCCGGCCCGGGCCGCACCAGGACGCCCGGCCAGCCCCCYGCCGCAGAGAAGCCACACCCATGACCACCCCACCACACTACCAACAACCAAGTGCACCCCCTCAGCCGTCCACCCCCTGGAACCCGGCAGCCACCCTGGCCAGGGGACCACCCACAGGAACCAAGAGCCACACCTCGGGAGACCAAGCAGCACCAGGGAGGATGGAGAGCCAGCCCCGCCCCCGGCAACCGTCCAAGCCCCGAGCCCGCCCACAGCCCAGGACTGCACCCGGCGGCCCGCGCTTCTTCAGGACCCCCTCCCCAAATGGCAGTCGAGGAACGGGATGGGAATAAAGACCCTGACACCCACACCCCCACCCCCACCCCCAGATGTACTGTTGGTGCATGTTGTTCTATAGAGTAATTAAAAAGGGAAAGAAGAAGAGGCAGAGGCCGGCGTGGTGCCAGTTTCATCATATTTTAATTGTATTAATCCATAAAACCTGTTTTTTTGCCCTCAATATGTGGAATTGTTTCATTAATTTGTGGCCTTTTGATTAAGGTTACCATGGTGCTGAGCTGCTCCACTAATGGACTTGATCTCACATCTAACTGTGGTTTACGCAGTTATTAATCTGTGGACTTGCATCATAAGGCAGGACTCAGCTAGCTTCTGTCTGACATGCAAACACACCAATCAGTACAGATTAAGCACATGCATTTAAATTACATTAAACGGACTGATCTTGTTCATTAAAAGAAGCCCTGCATCCATTTTAATGCAATTGTTCGGTGTGCAAAAGAGCTGMAGCTAAAATATGACAATTGTTGGACAAATATCTCTTTTGAACAAATTATTAAACAGAAATAACATTAAGTTGAGGAAACATGGCAAGTGTGTGTTGTTTTTCTTCTTTTCTTCCTTTCTTTTC